CAGGCCTGCGGAGGAACAGGCGGTGCTGACATAAAAGTGGAGGAGAGGGAGGCCGTCCCAGAAAGAGCTCTATGCACGGCGACCACAGCAGCCCGCAGAGAGGAGCCCTGGCAAAGACAGGCATGGGCAGCCTAGGTGGAGCTCAGACAGGGGGAAGGGTCTGGGTTTTTTGCTTCTTTAAAACTAAAGAATTAAGATTTTTGGAAAAGAGAAGAAACCAGAAAGCCATAAATGTAGCACTAATCCACACCTACACAGCTTCTTAGGCCCATATCCCACCTGCAAGAGCTCTGCAAGCCCAGTGTGCAGAGGGAGGCCGTGTGGAGCCCGAGGTGACAGACACATGGCACACCTGGACCAAACCCTTCCTGAAGGTGCCTCTAGCTAAGCTGAGTCTAAAGCACCAGCCTGTCTAGAAGCAGCTTAGACCCAGTACATGTGGAGCTACAGAAAACTCTGGCCCTCCTGTTTCAATGCCAGGCCCCAGGCTACACATCAACCAGGACACATGGGAGGCAGCTGACTTCTCTGGCCCTTCAGCCATAGCATTTGCTGGAATCCTGGTTTCCAGTGGGGTGTGAGAATGTTACCCCAGCTTCCACATTCCTTGAGGAACAGTTCTATCACTCATTGCTGGCAGGACTCAGGGAAGGGCCTAGGAAGCCTTTTAACCAAATGCTACAGGAATCCGCTATCTGGAATGACCCCTGACCTAGCTGGCTGGCAGCCACAGTGACCCTCTCCCCTCCCTGCAGCCAGGTTCCCGGGAAGTGGTTCACAATTTGCCATCCCTTTCATCCAGAGAGGTGCTCAACAGCTCTTGATTACAAAACAGGTGTCCTTCAGGACATGCAAAAAGATGGAAAGATGTCCTGTGTTCAAGGACTGGAAGAATTAATATTGTTAAAATGTCCATACTACCCAAAGCGAGCTACAGATCCCTGACAGTCTTCGAAGAAATAGAAAAAAATCCTAAAATTCATATGGAACCAAAAAGACCACAAACAGCCAAAGCATCTCAGCAAAAAGAAGAAAGGCAGGAGCACCACGCTTCCTGACTTCAGAATACAGAAGAATCTCTCTACTCGACCGCCTCCCCACACTGACCACCTCCTCAAGCTGTCCTAATTTTCATAGACAGGACATGCACCCCAAGAATGTATCAGCACACAGTCCTAGTTCCTATGTTGACCACCTCTGTGTGCTGACCAGTTTGTTCCAGTCCCTTGCATGGTCCACTTACAGAGGTTCTACTGTGTACCCACAAAGCCACAGTAACCCAGACAGCATGGTAATGACATAAATACAGATAGAGACCAATGACAGAATCAAGAACCCAGAAAAAAAATCCACACATTTACAGCCAACTCACTTTTTTTTTTTTTTTTTTTTTTTTTTTGAGACAGAGCCTCAAGCTGTCGCCCTGGGTAGAG